TTTCTGATGGGTCTTGCACGCTTCGCTTGCTTCCCCCCCCTTCAGCCTGAAGGCATTAATCGTGTTTCCGATGGGCCTTGCAGTGATTTTTTGTGATTTATTTTCTTTGGCTGGAACGGATTAATTGCACCTATAGGAAATGGTGCTTTAACTTATGACCATTTTGATTTACGACCGGAGTTCCGGAGCCAATTAAGTTTCTAAGTCGAGGCACCACTGTACTTCCCTCTCATCTTATCATTAAGGTAAGAAGCAAAGCTGACACATGAACTGCTTAAAATTGTTGACAACGTGTGAGAAGCCAACATAAAAGGTGACACAAATAGGGACAGGTTCCTAAATACAACTTTCCAGCAGCAGGCACATAACGACAGACTGAACTGTTACTAGCATCGTAGCAGAGATACAGAAAAAAAATAACAACAAAAAAAAAACAAAGAGGGAAAACAAGAAATCTCTAAGAGGGAAATTTGAAGCTACATTTGGTATGTTGAAATCCAGTTTAGTGGATAGAGTGATGGACTAGGACTCATGAGACCTGGGTTTGAATCCCTATTCAGGGACAGAAACATACTGAGGATGTGCAACTGGTAAAACCACCCCTTAAATATTTCACATACTGTACATTGAAAGTCCTATTAGGATTATTATAAGTCAGCTTCTATGTGAGGGCACATAACAGGGATGCTGAAGTAGGGGAATATATTATCTGATCAAAATAAATAAAAAAGACAAAACAATATATTAGAACAATACAAAACACAGGCATGGATGAAAGGTTTCTTGAAAGAAAACTCCTTTAATGAAAAACCTGCAAAGTTATAAAGTGAAATGACATCTGGTCTCTAAGCAACTAGAAGAAACAAATAACCAAGAATTAATGGAATATCAATACACCTGAAGGTTAAAGAAGAAATTGCCAAAATTGGATTGAGTTGAACATTGTTATGTGCCATCAGATTGCTTCTTACTTACAGCAACTCTATGAACTACTGACCTCCAAAGGGCCCTGTCATCAACATTCCTGCTCAAGTCTTGCGAAACTAAGGCCATGGGTTCCTTTACTGAATCAGTTCATGTCATATTTGATCTTCCTCTTATCCTGATGCCTTCAACTGTTTGTAGCATTATTATCTTTCCTTGTGAGTCTTGTTTTTTCATGGTATGCTTAACAGTATGATAGCCTCCGTTTAATCATTTTGAGAGATAATCCAAATTTGGTTTGATCTAGCGCTCACTTGTCTTACTACCAGCTCATGGTATTTATAAAGTTCTTCTCCAAGACATATTTGAAGTGGGTTTTTTTCCTTTTAACTGTTTTCACTGTCTAGCTTTCATATCCATACATGATTGAGAGTACAATAGTGTAAATGGTCTTGGCCTTGGTCTCCAGTGACGTATTCTTAACTTGTGAATGTTCCTTCCTCCTTGTACTTCTGAGTCTCAATCTTCTTGTTTCTTGTCTAGTCTCCATCTGGATTGACAAGTGAACTCTGATATTGAAAATCTGTAACAATTTTGATTTTATCACTGTCAACTATAAAGTGATGTAATTATGTAGTCATGATTTTTGTCTTCTTGCCTTTCAACTGCAAACCTGCTTCTGTGCTTTCTTGTCGCATTCAACTATAGTTGTTTCAAATTACTGCATTTAATATACACAATAAAAACTGAAATTATTAATAATATTTAAAGGTTTCCATAGTATGGGACATTAGTCATCAGTCAGTCAAATTGGAGCCAAAAAAATCAAAAGACTGAGACTTGGAAGGACAATTATGAAGGAACTAGGAAAGATTCTCAAGTGTAAAGAGCATGTTACTGGAGGCCAAGGTCAAGGTCATCTATACTATGGCAATCTTGAGTACTAAGTACACATGTGAAAGCTTGATAATGCAGAAAGCTTACAGAAAACAATTTATTCAAAATTCAGATTTTTAGACCAGCCATTCTCAACCTTTTTTTTTTTTTTGGCAATGGCCATAAACAGGGAAGAAATACAGGTGAAATCAAGATCATATAAGGTGCACAACAACAAACAAGTTCTAGATCAAATGAAGCCTGATTTAGCATCAGAACCTAAAATGACTAAACTGGGGCTACAAGAAGACTCGCTAAAAAAGGCAATAGTGCTGGAGAAAGTAGAAGGTAGCAGAAATAGAGGAAGACCTAACATGAGATGGATTGGCTCAATTTAAAAAAATCATGTCTGTGGAGGTCACCACTGACACCCCTAATGGGCTGTGAGCATCAGTCTTGGAACCAGCAGCTGCTAAGTCGGAGGTGCACACTGGACTTGGGCAACCAGAGGGGGAGAGGACTAAGGTATGAGGGCCACCTGATGAAGGGGTAGGGAGGAGGCTAGCCTACAGATGGGGGCCATAAAAGAGGTCTTAGAGGAGTCAGAGGGGGATTCAGAGGGAGACGAGACACACCTGGGTCCTGTGGGAGAGTGCTCTGAACCAGAGTTGGTGGTGTGAAGAGATGTGCAGGAAGAATGGGAGGAGCCCTTGAGTGTAGAGGAATGTCAGGATCTGACAATGACTAGGACTACATATATTTCAAGGACTGTTGGATGGGTTAGGTTTAGTATTTGTTTTAGGATTAGTTCTGCATCCCGTGGGAACAGGCTAGGGAATTTGAACAAGCGTGCTGTGTCCTGCTATCCACCTCACTGCAGAGGCCACCACCAGCCTCTGCCAGGCCAAGTTAGCCCCACTCCGTCTAGAGTCAACACTGGAAATGGAAAAGGCAAAAATAATGGCAGAGAACTCCAGCAGCACCTGCTACTTTCACCTCAGCTACCAGCGGTGGTGAGCCCTAGACCTTGTTGAGGCTGCCAGCCTACAAGCCCTCCTTCCTGTGAGCCCCAATCTTGTGGAGGCCTCCCTTAAAAGAGACTATAGACTCATGGGCCCCAATGAAGTAACTAGGGGACCTAAGTCTGATTGAGACCATGCAATGGAAAATATTCTTAACTTTGCCTCTGGCAGGAGCCTTAGGAATGGAGCAAAGTTGTTTCCCCTTCACCAGTTCTGATAAACCCCATTGTTGTTGACTCAGAGCAGGTGAAGTTGATGGGATGGTGAAAGGTTTATTTGTTGACCCTGGACCCAGCAGGATGCACTACTACTTGGTTGTTGCTACATGCCATCAAGTCACTTCTGACTTATGGCAACCCCATGAAAGAGTGACCTTCAAAATATCCTGTCCTCAATTGCCCTGCTCAGCTTGTGTAAATGCAAGGATGTGATTCCTTTATGGAATCAGTCCATCTCATAGTTGGCTTTCCTCTGTTCCTGCTGCATTCAACTTTCCCCAACATTATTGCTTTTTGAAGAAAATCTTCCCTTTTTATGATGTGCCTGAAGTAGGACAGACCCAGTTTCAACATTTTTGCCTGCAGAGGTAGTTCAAGCTTGATTTCCTCTAGGACCAACTTTTCTCTTTTTGGCAATCCAGGGTTATCTGCAAAACCATCCTCCAGCACCATATTTCAAAGAAATCAATTTTTCTTCCTGTCAGCCTTCTTCACTATCCAACATTCAAACCTTTACACAGTAACCAGGAATAAATAGTGTGGATGACTGTCTTGGCTTTTGTCTCCAGTGATACATCTACACTTGATGATTCTGTCTGATTTCTTCATTGCTGCCATTTTAAGTCTATCTTCTTCTGATTTCTTAGCTATTGTATCCATTCAGATTGAGCAATGCTCTTTAGTTTGGAATATATGATCATCCATTTTACATCATTAATTCGTACGATTTGTCCTTCAAATGTTGGAAACAATTTGGCTGTATAGAACAGGATGCAATCAGCATATGCCAAACAAGTGGCTGTAGTTCTCAGTGAATCATGCAGGATTCTTACTGGCTGCCTGAAACATACACTTATAGCAGAGTCCATTATTTGGCTGGCATTGCCCCTCCAGAAGCACATCCAGAGGTACTAGCAAATGATGAACAAAATAAGGCACAGCACCAAACCCATGCACTTCATGGACACCAACTCCCTATATTATGGCTAAAATTGAGGAAAGCTTTTCTGCACACATCTTAAGCTCTAAATATTAAACTGTAGGCTAAACCTACAGAGAATAAAAACAACAAACCTTGTCAAATGGAGGAACGCTGAAGAATGTCTCCTAATAGAAAGATCAAAGAATAATCAAGTAAAATGGAGCTATTTGGACCTTTCTGTGAATGTGTTGAAATTGAATCAATGCAGCACTTCTGTGCATGCAATTTATGTCCCACCACATATACAAAAGACCCAGCAAATGGCAGAAACATTATTGAAGTAGCCCGTTTCCGGTCAAAAATAGTCTAATAATCTTAAATTTGTTATTAATTTCACCTATATTTCATAAACGTCCATAAATTTAAATTGTGTAACGCTCCCATACGAATAAAGAAAGTACTGTATGCCATTTGCGGGAGAAGCTTCTGCCCTCATGGAGATATATAGTACGTGGTGAGGCACAACTACTTAAGACGCCGAGGTTCAACGATGGTGAAGCTGAACCCTGGACGAAGGCATGGCCTCTGCAGCCGAAAGGCATTAAAAGTTTATTGTGAAATACGCCGCCGGTCGTGATTTAATTGGGTTTTTGTCCCCGGGTCAATAATGCAGGAAGGCGGCAGCAGCCTCCAGATCCTGCCATGCCCTGGGAGGCTTCGACAGCAACAGCAGCCAACGTCGCTGGACAGGACAGACGTAAACTCCTCTCGGGATCCCGGGAAAGTTCCGTCCGGAATAATTCACCTATCTCCTCCTCCGAAAGAAAAGAGAAAGGCGGGACAGCGCGAGCTCCAAGCGCGAAACCTTTGCCCATGCGCAGTACGGACAACCGCCCCTCTCCTATCTATGAAAAGAAAAAAAAGAGTCCAACTTTTCTGCCTCCTGCCGCATATCCGTTAAACGGACCAGCAGACGCTACGTCATTTCTCTCATGTTTCGTAGCGCCGCCCGCATGCTTTTCCGCAACCAGCACCAAGACAAAAATGATGCGGAGTGGGGGGCAGGCTTTGGGAAGAGGAGAAGTAGGCGGGGGAGCGGTGAAGCCGTTCTTCTCATTGGTTTACAGCAACGTTTCCAATTCGTTTTTCTACTGGCGCGCCAAATAGGCGCGGGCGGTCTGTAAATATTTCTTCTTAGTAGTTAGTTGGCCGCTCTCGTCCCTGTGTCGAAACTCGGACTCCTCACTTTGTCTTTTTCCAGACCCCAGAGAGGGGGGGGGCGGGAAAGTAAATACACTAATGGAAAAAAAAATCACTTTGCTTTATAAAGTTCCCGTGCTCAGCGCGGTGTCATAATTAGCATGACTTCTTCCCAACGCAAGGATGCGGCTTCTACAGCAGCATCCCGGGTTACTACTCTGCTGGAGGAAGAAGTCAAGAACCTGACTGAGGAGCTGAGCCAGTGCCAGGTCTGTACCGAAGCGGGTGGTGGTGGTGGTGGTGATGATGGTGATGCTGATGCTGGGGAAAAAGGACAAACACGCTCGGAGAGGAGGGAGCCGCGCAGGAGTTGGGGTCCCAGGCTCCTGGCAGCCCTCCCAGGTTGGGGTCCACCCCACCCCCCATATATAGAGGAGGGACGGGACGGAGGGAGAATAAATCTCAGTCCAAACGTTTCTTTGGGAGAGAAACTCCACCGCAGGCAGCGGGCTGAGGAAACTTGCGCAGGACAGGCCGACGCTCCGCTCGGCGCCTGACGTTGTGGCCCTTCCCGGGGACGCCCCTGCCCGGTGTTGACCTGGGCTATAAAAAAAGAATATAAAATATAACTGACAAGAGTTTGCGCACAGCAGTTTCAAGCGTTATGATAAAAAAGCCACTTGCAGATAAAAATTATTCTCCCCTGTGTGTGCTGCGTCCCTCCGCTCGGCACGCCAACAACTGAAAGTAAATAAAACAACCGCTTGGTCTTCCTTAAAAACATTAAATCACTTTTATTGTTTAGAACGCACGTAGAATAGAATAAACTCACAGTGTTTAGACATCTGGTCTGAATAGTCTGGTTAGAAGGACAAAGGCCCTGGGATGAGTGAAAATCCCACTTCTGCAGCTCTTCTCCACCTGAAGGACTGCAGAAGTGGGATTTTCACTCACCCCCTGGCCTTTATCCATCTAACAAGCCAATTCAGACCAGGGGGAAATGAAACCAATGTGGAGGGGATATCAGGTGTCTCCTACCAACTCTCCTCAGACTGAAGAAGCTGCTTGGATGTGTAGCAAAACCTTTCAACCTAACAAGAAAGAAGTCCAGTTGCCATGACTCAGCTTCCAGATAACCTCACCTCGATGACTGAGAATCTTCACAAATGTACCTGACTTAGTTATGTTCATATCTCATTCATGAAACTTGACATAATTACTCTTCAAAAACTATTACATCCTATAACATAGCTAACATTTGACAGACTGTAGCCTACTGTATATTTGCCCTATCAGTCTGAGGAACTGCTAACTGGCACTTGCTTCATATATCTGTCTGGCCGATGCCAGACACATTCTGTTTGGTCAAAATGCTTTGCTATGCAAATATATCATTCTAGTCCCTTCCGTGTTAAACACATATAAACATACTTATGCATATAGTATATACACATATTTCAGAATGGTTCACTATGTAAATATCACATTCTAGTCCTTCACATATGACATATACACACATTTTTCAACACGCTCGGGGGATGGATGGGTTTAAATTGAATTGCAGCAACATGATCCAGATGGCTGTAAACTGGAAGCCCCTTGATAATGACCATACATGACATTGCAACATCCCTCCTTTTAGCATGTTGTCACTGGAATTAGAAGAGGTCTGGACAAACCTCTTGGGTTGGTGGTGGTTGTAGGTTTTTCAGATTGTTTGGCTGTGTTCTGAAGGTTGTTCTTCCTAATGTTTCACCAGTCTCTGTGGCCAGCATCTTCAGAGGACAGGAGTCAGAACTCTGTCTGTGCTCTGGTGCAGTTTTGTGGGATAGGCACAAAACTCTTGGACTGGCCTTATCAGTATGAGAACTTTCCAAAGGGAGAGCTGTGTTAGTCTGCTGCAGCAAAAAGAAAGCAAAGTTTTATGGCACTTTAACAAGTTTTATTGGGCATAAGCTTCCGGGGACTTTTTCTAAAGAAGTGGGCTACGTTCCACAAAAATTTCTGCCAAGTAAATTTTGTTAATGTTTAAGGTCCACAAAGCTAGTCATTCTCTGAGGCTGTATCGTAAGCAGCCTGTGCAACCCACAGCCAAGCACAGAGCAAGTGTGTGTCTCATTAAAAAGTGCGTGTAGAACAAGTAGCCACAGGTGAATCAGGCAAATAAGCTGAGGTATATACAGTGAGGAAATGAAAGAAGATGAAATTATTGTAATATCTACTGTACTGAAATATTTACTAAAAGGGAGATTTGAATACCGTGTTTCCCTGAAAATAAGACAGGGTCTTATATTAATTTTTGCTCCAAAAACACATTAGGGCTTATTTTCGGGGATGTTTTTTTTTTTCATGTACAGTATAGCAATCTACATTTATTCAAATACAATCATGTCATCTTCTGGTTGCTACATACATGTTGCTGCACAGTGGTGGAGGGTGGGGTTTCACTTAATTGGGGCTTATTTTTGGGGTAGGGTTTATATTATGAACATCCTGAAAAAACATACTAGGGCTTATTTTCAGGTTAGGTCTTATTTTTGGGGAAACGGGGTATGTTCAGGACAGGCATTGTTTGGTTTTAATCTTTGGCAAACACATATATGGAATTGCTTTCTTATACCATTTGTTTGATCACTCAGAGTATAACTGTAATTTCTACAAAGTTGAATATTCTTAAATATATGTACTATTATAATATTCTCAAATGTATGGATCATTACATGAATTATTCACTGAATAAAGGAAACCGTAGCCTTGAGTTTCCAAGAGCTGAGCAGGGTTGTTGCCAGTAAGGACCTTTTGGGAGTCACTAATTTATTCAAATACTCAATATGAATATTCCACCTTTTGTACAGTGGGGTCTTGACTTAAGAACGGCTCGAGTTAAGAACATTTTGACTTAAGAACCACTCATAGGAAAATATTGATTTGACTTACATACTTAGATTTGAGTTAAGAACTAAAAAAAACCACGCGGGAGGCAGGGAAAGTGCAAAATTTGAACTTTCAGTTAACTGTTGGCCAGTGAAAAGGGTGCCTATCTGCTTCCTCACTCCTCCCAGCGTTTAGAGAGTGGATTGGGAGTCTTCAGACTGCCTGGTACTGCCTGGACTGTATTTTCCCTGCCTTCCCTGAACCTTTCTTGACCTAAGAAAAAAAGAAACAAAATATCCCCCTCTAGTGGTCGAAGGCAGAATAGCAGCTTCCCATTGGTTTCTATGGACGGAAAAGCGCAGATACGGCTCAAATGGTTTTCAATGCATTCCTATGGGAAATGCAGATTTGACCTGAGAACTTTTTGACTTGAGAACCGCCTTCCAATACGGATTAAGTTCTCAAGTCAAGACCCCACTGTATAGTGAGCTCATTGTGGTGTAAATGCAGGTGTGTTCTGTGCTGTCAATTCAGAACCGACTTACAGCAACCCTAATACAGTGGTGCCTCGACTTACGACCATAATCCATTCCAGAAGATGGACGTAACTCAAAATGGTCATAAGTTGAAGCACCATTTCCCATTGAAATGCATTGGAACGCGTTTAATCCGTTCCAGAAGAAAAAAAAACGCCCAATAAATAAAAAGACAACACTGCAAGCCCCATCGGAAGGCGCTGGGGCTGAAAAAACAAACCAACAAAAAATAAAGAACTGAGCAAGCCCTATCGGAAGGCGCTGGGGCTGCAAAAAACAAAAAATAAACAACACAGCAAGCCCCGAAGGCGCTGGGGCTTAAGAACAAAATCACCAAAAAACAAAACAACAACACAGCACAGAAACATAACCCCCCAGCCCAAACCCACCCTCCAAAACCCACCCAGAACAGGCAGTTTTTAAAAAGCAGAAAGCAGCACCTTACCTTACCAGGCAGCCCGAAGCGTCCCTGCAAACACACATATGAAGGGGTGCTGATAAGTATTGAGCCTTACCCAGAAAAATTGAGCTAGGAAGCTATAAATTGCAGGGTATATTGGCCAATTTGTCTATATTCAACGGTGCAAAAATCAACTACCTATGATTTTAACTTAACTTTCATTTTCTGGTCCAAAGTGAACATGGCGGCACCTCCAGAAAAGTTCAATGTGGAAGAGCATAGGACTATAATCAAGTTCCTGTTTCTCCAAGGGAAAGGTGCAAAGCAGATCCATGATGAAATGTCACAAACTATGGGTGACAGTGGCCCTTCATATGAAACAGTTAAACGTTGGGTTGTCAATTTTAAAACTAGCCATTTCGGTGTTGAAAGTGAGAAACCGAGTGGAAGGCCTATTTCTGTCTCTGTGCCTGCAAATGTCTAAGCCATCCGTGACATAATCATGGAGGACCGCCGAATATCAGCCAAAAGTATTGCTATATATCTTAGAATATCCTATGAGAGAGTTGGTGCCATTATCCACAACAGCTTGGAAATGAGAAAGCTGGCAGCAAAGTGGATCCCCAAACTTTTGACAACTGAACAAAAGAGGAAATGTGTGGAGTCATCGGTGGCTGTTTTGGAACATTTTGCAAGAAATGAGTCAGATTTCCTGGGCAAACTGGTAACTGGTGATGAGACATGGATCTACAGTACTGTTATGATCCTGAGACAAGGGAACAGTCTAAGGAATGGAGGCACAGCAGTTCCCTCAGGCCAAAGAAGTTCCGAGTACAAAGGTCGGTGCAGAAGCAAATGGCAACAGTTTTTTGGGATAACAAAGGAGTTCTGCTGGTGGAGTACCTCCAACAGGGTTTAACCATCAATGCAAAAATATTACTGAGCTTTGTTGAGAAGTTGAGGCAAAGCATCAAGGAAAAATGTCGAGGAAAGCTCTCCAAAGGTGTCATCCTGTTGCAAGACAACACCTTGTCACACACTGCAGGTGAAACAGTGGCAAAACTGACGTTCACTTTCAAGTGACGTGCCATCCTCCCTATTCTCCTGACCTGGCTGCGTATGACTATTATCTGTTCCCCAAACTCAAAAAACACCTAAAGGGACAACGATTTGGGAGTTTTCTGGAGGTGACTAATGCTGCAAATGAGGGGTTACACCAGCAGTCAGAAGCATTTTATTTGCAGGGACTTAAGAAGCTACAGGAGAGATGTTGCAAGTGCACTGACTTCCTGGGGGAATAATGTAGAATAGTGTGGCAGTTACAGCTTCCTAGCTCAATTTTTTTCTGGGTAAGGCTCAATACTTATCAGCACCCCTTCGTATAAGCTGTAATGAAGGAACAGCACTACTGTAGCATGCCAGTGAGTATGAAAATCCAGTCCCAAATGGAGGTCAGAGG